ATAATATATAAAAAGTATATTAACTATATATTATATATTTTAAAAAGTTTTGAATTGCTTACTATTATAGTATACCAATAATACTGAAATAACACTGGAACCAATAATAAAATGTGACTAAAGTGTACAAAGAAAACTAAATTTTATTATATTTTTAAATCATTATAACAGATAAATTTCTCATTCTGCCACAGTGTAGTCATTCTTTATTCTCAAAGCATGCTAAATTATTTAGCAAGAAGACATCATCATAAATCTTCGCTATCATAAGAGACGGTGTTCATTTGCAGTGGGAAAAAGATATATGACTAAATGGATTTGAACCTTGCAAAGCTCTTGGCTTATCTAATATGTCAGCGCTTTAAGCATAGTCGAGGTTGCTGAGCCATCTGGAGAAATGAGCAAAGGCTTTAAGCAGATTTATTCTGGTGTGTTCTTTAAGATTTTATCACTAACATATGCGTAGGAAACATGGAGGAGAAATGCCTTAGACTCATATATCATTTACTCTGTGTACCTTCTTAATGTGTTTCAAACTTTCAAAAGTCAATGTAATGTAAGTGTAGTCTGGGAAGGGAAATAACCCTTGTGCAATTTATTCGGTGTTAAAATACTTTTATTTCAGCTTAATGTGCAGAGACAAATATGGTAAACAATGCACATGTTGCCTGTAAACACTGGTTCAGTGGTTCTTTTAAAACATTGCTGTTTGTTTGAGCAGACCAATGTCAACTTCTTATTCAACCAATGGCGTGAATTTGGGCTGGACTACCTGTAATAACTGACAGACGGGAGCAGAACAGAATGGGCAGTAAGAGTTTTTGGGAAACCTGTTTGAAAGCAATTATTATATTAGTCTATTATAGCATATTATATTGTTTTTCTGAGTATAGTCGGGTAGGGTTAATTAGAGCCAGTTTCATTTTAAAAATACCGCAACTAAATGATGCTCACTTCCATTAACAGTTTTTCATGAGCATTTTTCCACCAATGCAGACAGATCACCACACTAAAATATTCTTGACGCCACACTACTTATTCAGTGCTGTTGCAACACCATTATAGAAGCAAGAAACAGACAGCACAGCCACCAGTGTAGTAAGAAGATAATTTACAAAGAAGTCTTTTGTTGCAGAAGTGATGGTTCTACCATATTTGTAACAAGGAGTTGAGTTTGCAGTTTTAGCTATATGGAGTATACACAAGACCTGAGGTATCATCACTCTGCTGCAGAATTTCTGCAGAATTTCAACAGCATTAACATCAATTCCATGTGACAGTATTAAATCTAAAGTATGATTACGACAATGGGTAGGTCCTAAAACATGTTGTCTGACTCCAATGGAGTCCAGAATGTCTATAAATGCTGATCCTAATGCATCGTTTTCTGAATCAACATGGATATTAAAATCACCAACAATTAAGACTTTATCTGCAACAAGGACTAACTCAGAAAATCAGCAAATTCTTTGATAAAGTCTGTATGGTGCCCTGGTGGCCGAATTATACTTGAAACCAGAGCTCTGAGAAATACTGAAAATATTACAACAAATTGTAGCAACACCTCCCCGTTTACCTCTCAGACACGACTCATGTTTATAACAGTAATCTTGGTGGGTGGACTCATTTAAATGAATGTAATCATCTGGTTTTAGCCAGGTTTCTGTCAAACAGAGCACATCTAGGTTACGATCTGTGATCATATCATTTACAAAAAGTGCTTTCGTAGAAAGGGATCTAATATTCCTTAAGCCAAGCTTTATCATTTGCTTATCTGTATGATATGTTTTTTTTTATTTGTTGAACATCAATTAAATTTTTACCCTTAAATTGGTTTGGGAGTTTTTTGTACTTGGTAGTTCGGGGAACAGACACAGCCTCTGTAGTATGATATATAGGTGAAAGATTCTCTATGTGCTGAGAAATAATTGACTTCCGTGACATGAAGCGGCTAGCAGACGGTCGGTTTAGTCAGTCTGTCTGCTTCCTGACCTGTGCCCCAGTTACAAACTCTAAGATTATGTGACATATTTCTAGAGAGAAGACCATTTCTTTTCAACAGGTCAGGTCTGCCCCAAAAATTCGTCCAATTGTCTATGAAATAAAAATTATGAAAGTACATAAGAAAATGACTTTAATTAAACTTTAATTAAAATTAAAATTAAGACTAAACATATAAAAAATAAAAGCTATTTCTTTCTCTCTCTCTCTCATGTGATAAACGCAGGGAAATAGTTAGGCTGACAGAGCCTCTCTCTCTCATGTGATAAACGCAGGGAAATAGTTAGGCTGACAGAGCCTCTCTCTCTCATGTGATAAACGCAGGGAAATAGTTAGGCTGACAGAGCCTCTCTCTCTCATGTGATAAACGCAGGGAAATAGTTAGGCTGACAGAAAAGATTTCAGAACTAGAGACACGCATCCAAACATTAATTGAGGATAGTAAGAATGTGAGGGCCACTAGCTTTGTTCAGTTCTGGTTGCAGATCCAGTTGCATATATATATGTGAATCCTTTGCCACTGACAGAGAAGGCTAAACTATATATGCGGAAAGCAGTGCAAGTGACAATAACAGGAGAAGAAGCCATGACTCACCGTGATTGTTGAATGATTTCTGACTTACCACAGGTGTTTGATGAACTGTGAAAAACGGAGCGAAAGAGAGAGAAAAATAAACGGTAGGAACGCAAAATGCAAATGACAAGCTAACATGCTAACAGAATGCTAACGCGCTGTGCTAGCAGTTTAGATTAAAAGAGAACAATGTCAAATTCTGATAATTTCAGAAATATAGTGAGAATTAAGTTATATATTAGCAGTTTAAACAACAGAGAGTGATGGTAAGATAAAGATTCCAACAGAAAATCAAAGTTGCATTGAGCTACACTCGCAAACCAGTACGACAGACAGGAACCGGAACTCCGCGTCAACCCGTGTTAAATGCACAATCTGACCTGTGTTGCAGCCTGGAATTAAACCACACCATGCTGGTTTTGTCTGGAAAAAGGAGATCTGTTTCTCCCAAGATTTTTTTCTCCATTTCTGTCACTGATGGAGTTTTGCTTGCCACTATCCCCTTTGACTTGCTTATGGGGATGCGTAATTTCTGCCAATATTGTTAACTTGATTGCACAGACACTATTGGAAGAGAGCTGAACTGGATGATGACATCACTGAATCATCAATGAACTGACTTTAACTGAAAAAAATTTTTTTTATTGTCCTCTTGCATTATTGACAAACTGTTTTCCTGTTTGACACTGTAAAGCTGCTTTGACATAATCTGTATTGTATAAATCACTATATAAATAAAGGTGACTTGACTTGACAGTGTAGTACAACTTTTTGAACAAATTACTCTAATGAGATCAAAAACATTGATCACAACCAGTGAAGTTCCAGTCTCTAGCAATTTACTCTTATGAATTGGTTATTTTCAGTGAACATTCAGCACAACCAGTGTAGTCCGATTCCTGAACGATTAATTAACTGGAATGATTAAAGTATTTACGATTCTATCATGCCACCTCCTGAAACTTTGACTTTACATGGATACACAAGAATTAATAAAATTAAATATAAAAAAAAGACCCTTTATAATGAGACTGACATACCTTGGGAAGAATCCTGCTGAAGATTTACCTGAAATTAAACATTCCAGCAGGGTTAAATCAGGTTTACTCAAAAAGAAACGTTAGCATGAGCCCCCACCCTATGACTTGTTTCTCTTCGAAATACCACAATCATGTGAAGCAGGATGGCATATTCGTGTTTTATGAGGAGATTTACTTTATGATTCTGCGGCATGTCTGAAAAGCATGGTCTGGGAAAATGTTTGATCTTGAAAGCTTTCAACTTTGTAGGATGAAAGAGATTGATGGCAGATTTGTTTTTTCTTGAGTATACTGAAGCCTCACTATGCTTCAAATTTCCTTTTATGTATTTAAGTAGAGCCCCATATAGCACAGCTGTGTGTTGCAGGGGTGTAGAACCAAAAGTATGAAAAGTCAAAAGTGGGGTGGGACACACATTATAAACCTTATCAGCTTTGCCTCTCTTTCTCTCTCTCTCTCTCTCTCTCTCTCTCTCTCTCTCACTTCCGGTGTGACTGTTGAGCGTGAGCGGTGCGAGTGTGAATTGGAGACTGTGAGTGAATCCTCTTTTTCTTACTTTCTTTCTTGCTTGGGCTACTGTTCTTAAGTTTGGTGGTTTATTTCTCTGGTTGGGCCGCGTGCTGCCGTTTTTCTTTTTGTGGCCAGCATGACGGCCCCGCGGTCGCAGATTTTGAGTAAACTCACGCTGCGCCATGGGGTTAAAGTGGCGTCCGCGGTGAGCGTGGAAGACTGTTGTCTAGCTGTAGGAGAAGTTGTGGGGCATGGGAATATCATGTCAGCCTCTAAAATGAACAGTGCCACAGTTATTTTTCTTAGCTCTGTTGAAAAAGCAAATGAGTTAGTTGAGACTGGAATTGTTGTTGACAATCTTTTTATTCCAGTCCTCCCACTTTCCATGCCATCAAAAAAAGTGCTGCTGTCCAATATTCCGCCTTTCATAAGTGATGAAACATTAGTGAGAATTATGTCTCGATATGGCAAATTGGTGTCACCTATTAAGATGATACCAATTGGTTGTGGTTCGCCTCTTTTAAAACATGTGGTGTCTTTTAGACGTTTCGTTTACATGATTTTAAAAGATGATGAGGAGCTCGACCTATCACTGCATCTGAAAGTTGATGATTTTGACTATGTTATCTATGCTACAACGGATAAAATGAAATGTTTTAATTGCGGGGAGGTGGGTCACTTGGTTCGCGCTTGCCCTGGTAAAGCTACAGAAAACAGCTCGGCGAATGATTTTAATGCTGGCGAGCCTGTTGAGGCTGGACCGTCTAACGCTGCCCCGCCTGTGGCAGAGACAGGTGCAGTGGAGGAGAGCACTATTGTGAATTCGTCCGAGAGTGAGAGCGCAGCGAATGCATTTCAGATAACAGATCCCAAAGATGCGGATGAGGTAAATACACCGGCTAGTTCTGAAACCTTGAATGTTCAGTCTCGTAAGTCCGCTATTAAAACGGACAAGAAACAAAGCGGTAGCGCGGTCAACATTTTGCAGCCCAATTTGTTGTGTGATGGCATTGAAATGGAGACAGGGCAAAGTGAATTTAAAGTTCCATCTAAAAGGAAGAAATCTGGCGATTTTCAAGCCGTTAAGGCTAAGAAAGCAGGTGTAGAGGATGTTTACGGTGAGGACAGAATGGAAAGTGGCAGTGAGTCTTCCGATTCCAGCGTCAGTTTATCTCAAAGTGACTTTTCTAGCCGAAGTTATGAAGTGGATGACATTAAGCTCTTTCTCAGAGCCACAAAAAATAAGAGAGGGGTGCGTGTTGAAGAGTATTTTCCTGACGTTAAGCAGTTTGTTGGTAAAACTAGATCGTTTATGTCGGAGGGGTTGTTTACCAACAAAGAGGTATATCGATTAAAGAAGATAGTGAGAAAATTCACTTCTGACAATGCTAATGAAGAGTCTGAGAAAGCCTAATAGCTTGGCTATTGATGTGGTTGGTGTGTGTGGAGTGCTGCTATGGTTCTTGTTTTCCTCTTCTTTTCTAAAAATGAGTGAAGTGAATATTGCAACATTGAATGTAAATGGTGCAAGAGAAATGAAAAAAAGAGCAGAAATATTTGAGGTAGTTAAACAAAGGAGAATTGATGTTGTTATGTTGCAAGAAACACACAGTGACTTAAAGAATGCTGCTGATTGGGCAGGGGAGTGGGAGGGGGTCTCAGTTTTGAGCCACAGTACCTCACTTAGTGGAGGGGTGGCCATTCTTTTTGCAAAAACTTTCAGTCCACATTCTCATCAGGTCGAGGAAATAGTTAAAGGTAGACTTTTAAAAGTAAGAGCCACTTTTGAACATTTTGGTTTTGTTTTTATTTGTGTGTATATTCCAACTTCAGCAGTAGAAAGAATGATTTTTCTGAATATATTGGGCTCTGTTTTGCAAAAATGCTGTGGGGAGGAATTTTTATTCTTGGGTGGTGATTTTAATTGTACAGTGTCAAATTTGGACAGGAATCACGTTGAACCCCATTTACCATCTCGTAATTTGCTAATCCAGCTTGTTAAAACACACGATTTATGTGACACTTGGAGACAGTTTCATGAGAAACAAAGACAATATACTTGGACTCATATTCGTGACAGTGTGATTTCTCTGGCAAGGCTTGATCGATTTTATGTTATTAAACATCATTGTAATATTGTGAGAAGATGTTTAATTACCCCACTGAGTTTCTCTGATCTCTGATCACTGCAGTGTTCTGTGTTTCTAAATTCCATTAAACCAAGGAGTGCATACTGGCAGCTAAACACTAAACACCTAGGTGATAAATATTTTAAGAACATGTTTAAATTGTTTTGGGATGAGTTCAGAACCACGAAGGGATCTTTTAAATCTTTAAGACAGTGGTGGGAGTTTGGGAAATCCCAAATAAAACAATTTTGTTTACAATACACTCAAAACGTCACTAGGGAGATAACTTTAAATATGAGGACCTTGGAGACTGACATTTTAAAACTTCAAGAATTGGCTGTTTAAATATGGAGACTGACATTTTAAAACTTCAAGAATTGGCTGAGTCAACTGGTGCCCAAAGTTATTTAAGTTATTTAGTAGATAAAAGGACACAGTTGGCTGATTTGCTGGGTGGTAAAACACAGGGGGCTCTGGTCAGGTCTCGGTTCCAGAGTGTGGACCAGATGGATGCTCCATCCAAGTTCTTCTTCAACTTGGAGAAGAAGAATGGTCAGAGCAGGGCCATCCATGCCTTGCGCTCTGAATCTGGAGCTTTATTAACTGACCCTGCTGACATTCGCAAGAGAGCAGTTATGTTTTATGAGAACTTGTATAGGAATGAACTCGGGGCCGGATACAGGGGTGATAGTGAGTTTTTTGATGACTTACCCCAGGTATCAGAGGAAGCCAACGCTGAAATCTCGGGTGCTTTGAGCACGGGGGAGCTGTATAAGGCTCTCCAAGGAATGGAGTCTGGAAAAGCACCGGGAATTGACGGTCTGCCAGTTGACTTTTACAAGTCTTTCTGGTCAGATCTAAAAGAGGACCTTTTGGAGGTGTTGAATGAAAGCCTGGCTGAAGGGCAGTTGCCTGTGTCCTTGTTTGTTTTTTTCTTTGAATCTAGAAGGGGTTTCCGGAGTCTTTTTTGAAGTTGTTGATTCCATGTGTGTAGACTTCTTTTCGAGCACTGGGAAAGTTTTGTATAAGTGTTGTGTGATTAATTTTAACAAAAAAATGTTAAATAAGAAAATTGATACTCCATGGCGTGTTTTTTTTAAGTTGAATATGGATAAAAAGCCTGAGTGGAGAGCACTATATAAACCACCGTTGACTAAAAAAACAGGTGATTTACAGTGGAGAATCCTTCATGGTGCTGTAGCTGTCAATGCTTTTACTTCGATCATAAATCCTGAGATTGATGCTGGTTGTCCTTTTTGCACTGAGAGAGAAACCATCTTTCATACATTTGCGAATTGTGCTAGACTGGAACCTTTATTTTTGTGTGTAGGTAGCATTTTTAAGAATTGTAATGAATCTTTTTCTATGGTGTTATTTATTTTTGGTTTCAAATATGTAATGAGGAAAAGATTTATTTGTCAATTGCTGAATTTTGTTTTAGGCCAAGCAAAACTGGCTATCTATGTAAGTAGAAAGAAAAAGATGGAACAAAATTTGGAACAGAATGTGGTTACATTGTTTTCAAATATGGTGCAAGCAAGAATACTGATTGATTTTAAATATTATAAACATATGGATGATCTTGCTTCTTTTGAAGAAATTTGGTGTTATAATGAGGCTTTGTGTTCTGTTTTCGAAGGCGATTTGGCTTTTACATATTTGTGAGTTGGGTTTGTTTTCTTTATAAATGAATATTGTAATTTAATTGTGTGGTGAATTATATTTGTAATAAAGGATTGTTAAAATTCGAATTCGTCCGAGAGTGAGAGCGCAGCGAATGCGTTTCAGATAACAGATCCCAAGAATGCGGATGAGGTAAATACACCGGCTAGTTCTGAAACTTTGAATGTTCAGTCTTGTAAATCCGCTATTAAAACGGACAAGAAACAAAGCGATAGCGCGGTCAACATTTTGCAGCCCAATTTGTTGTGTGATGGCATTGAAATGGAGACAGGGCAAAGTGAATTTAAAGTTCCATCTAAAAGGAAGAAATCTGGCGATTTTCAAGCCGTTAAGGCTAAGAAAGCAGGTGTAGAGGATGTTTATGGTGAGGACGGAATGGAAAGTGGCAGTGAGTCTTCCGATTCCAGCGTCAGTTTATCTCAGAGTGACTTTTCTAGCCGAAGTTATGAAGTGGATGACATTAAGCTCTTTCTCAGAGCCACAAAAAATAAGAGAGGGGTGCGTGTTGAAGAGTATTTTCCTGACGTTAAGCAGTTTGTTGGTAAAACTAGATCTTTTATGTCGGAGGGGTTGTTTACCAACAAAGAGGTATATCGATTAAAGAAGATAGTGAGAAAATTCACTTCTGACAATGCTAATGAAGAGTCTGAGAAAGCCTAATAGCTTGGCTATTGATGTGGTTGGTGTGTGTGGAGTGCTGCTATGGTTCTTGTTTTCCTCTTCTTTTCTAAAAATGAGTGAAGTGAATATTGCAACATTGAATGTAAATGGTGCAAGAGAAATGAAAAAAAGAGCAGAAATATTTGAGGTAGTTAAACAAAGGAGAATTGATGTTGTTATGTTGCAAGAAACACACAGTGACTTAAAGAATGCTGCTGATTGGGCAGGGGAGTGGGAGGGGGTCTCAGTTTTGAGCCACAGTACCTCACTTAGTGGAGGGGTGGCCATTCTTTTTGCTAAATCTTTCAGTCCACATTCTCATCAGGTTGAGGAAATAGTTAAAGGTAGACTTTTAAAAGTAAGAGCCACTTTTGAACATTTTGTTTTTGTTTTTATTTGTGTGTATATTCCAACTTCAGCAGTAGAAAGAATGATTTTTCTGAATATATTGGGCTCTGTTTTGCAAAAATGCTGTGGGGAGGAATTTTTATTCTTGGGTGGTGATTTTAATTGTACAGTGTCAAATTTGGACAGGAATCACGTTGAACCCCATTTACCATCTCGTAATTTGCTAATCCAGCTTGTTAAGACACACGATTTATGTGACACTTGGAGACAGTTTCATGAGAAACAAAGACAATATACTTGGACTCATATTCGTGACAGTGTGATTTCTCTGGCAAGGCTTGATCGATTTTATGTTATTAAACATCATTGTAATATTGTGAGAAGATGTTTAATTACCCCACTTTAGAGTTTCTCTGATCACAGTATGGTGCAGTGTTCTGTGTTTCTAAATTCCATTAAACCAAGGAATGCATACTGGCAGCTAGACACCAATTTGTTAGGTGACAAATATTTTAAGAACATGTTTAAATTGTTTTGGGATGAGTTCAGAACCACGAAGGGATCTTTTAAATCTTTAAGACAGTGGTGGGATTTTGGGAAAGCCCAAATAAAACAATTTTGTTTGCAATACACTCAAAACGTCACTAGGGAGATAACTTTAAATATGAGGACCTTGGAGACTGACATTTTAAAACTTCAAGAATTGGCTGAGTCAACTGGTGCCCAAAGTTATTTAGATTCTCTTTTAGATAAAAGGACACAGTTGGCTGATTTGCTGGGTGGTAAAACACAGGGGGCTCTGGTCAGGTCTCGGTTCCAGAGTGTGGACCAGATGGATGCTCCATCCAAGTTCTTCTTCAACTTGGAGAAGAAGAATGGTCAGAGCAGGGCCATCCATGCCTTGCGCTCTGAATCTGGAGCTTTATTAACTGACCCTGCTGACATTCGCAAGAGAGCAGTTATGTTTTATGAGAACTTGTATAGGAATGAACTCGGGGCCGGATACAGGGGTGATAGTGAGTTTTTTGATGACTTACCCCAGGTATCGGAGGAAGCCAACGCTGAAATCTCGGGTGCTTTGAGCACGGGGGAGCTGTATAATGCTCTCCAAGGAATGGAGTCTGGAAAAGCACCGGGAATTGACGGTCTGCCAGTTGACTTTTACAAGTCTTTCTGGTCAGATCTAAAAGAGGACCTTTTGGAGGTGTTGAATGAAAGCCTGGCTGAAGGGCAGTTGCCTGTGAGCTGCCGTAGAGCAGTGCTAACCCTCCTGCCCAAGAAGGGCGACCTTACAGAGATTAAGTGTTGGCGGCCCGTATCACTACTCTGTAGTGATTATAAGCTGCTCTCTAAAACCCTGGCTAACAGGTTAGCAGGAGTGATGGATGGTGTCATCCATCCTGATCAGATTTACTGATCAGATTTACTGATACTGTGTTCCCCGAAGATCAGTATTTGATAATATTTTTTTAGTTTGTGATGTTTTGGAAGTCTCCAAGTTGTTAAATTTAGATTGTGGGTTAATCTCATTAGACCAAGAGAAAGCCTTTGATCGTGTTGAGCAATATAACACCAACATGTCAGAAAAAACTAAAATAAACAGAGATGGGGTGAAAGAAACACATAGTGCAATACTGCAACAAACTAAGATTAACAAAACATGGTATTTATAGGGACACTAACAAGACTAAATGACACACAGCTGGAAAACAATGAACCTGATAGACAGGGAAAAGGGTGATGGGAAATGAAGTCCACAAGCAATAACAGTGACCCGGGAGGAGTGCCCTCTGGTGGCTGTCATGGGCACTCCAGCTGGGCTGTGACATAATCCCATCTTTAATGAGCAGATTTCAGACGCTTCAGAAAGGAGGTGGATCAGGGGGAGGGATGGTGGGCCAGGCCCGTGTGGTGGAAGATGGCCTTGTGCCAGAGGTAAACCAGGAAACCAGAGCAGAGTTGGCAGAGCAAGAGGCCAGGGTGGGTCCGGCAGAGCAGGAAGCCACCACAGCAGAGCAAACGGGACCGTAGATCCCCACGGCGGAGCAGACAACAACCACAGCAGAGCAGACGGAAGCAAAGATCCCCACGGTGGAGCAGATGACCACCAGGGTTGAGCTGGTGGAGCTGAGGACCACTTCTGTGGAGCTGATGGTGCAGGAGACCACAAAGATGGCTCAGACTGGGCTGGAAAAGAAAGCACAGGGAGGTTAACAGCAGCCTCTGTGTCCGTAACAGGACAAACAGAATTCAGGAACGGCCTCCTTGGCCGTGACAGGCCAGACTGAGAGTTCAGGAACAGCCTCCTGGCCATGACAAGGCAGACGGAGAGTTCAGGAATGGCCTCCTTGGCCATAGCAGGGAAGATAGAGAGGTCAGGAATGGCCTCCTTGGCCATGACAGAACAAATAGAGAGTTCAGGTACAGACTTCTTGGCCGTGACAGGACAGGCAGAAAGTTCAGGAGTGGGCGCCACCGCCCAGAGAGGAGCTGAAGTGGACTCCGCTGCCTCTGGAGGTTCTGCAGTGGAAGCTGCCACCTCAGGAGGAGCTGAATCGGACGCCACCACCTCGGGACGTTCTGCAGCCAAAGCCGCCACCTCGGGAGGAACTGGAGCGGGCTCAGGAGTGGACTCCTGGACTGGAACGAACTCAGGAGTGAACTCATAAACTTGAGTGGGCTCAGGAGCGAATTCAAGGACTAGAATAGGCTCTGGAGTGGACTCATAGATTGGAGCGAGCTCTGGAATGAACTCATAGACTTGAGAGGGCTCTGGAGTGGACTTGTAAACCGGAGCGGACTCTGGAGTAAACTCATAGACCAGAACTGACTCTGGAGAGGACTCGTAGTCTGGAATGAGCTCTGGAATGAACTCATAGACTTGAGTGGGTTCTGGAGTGGACTCTGAAAGCTCCCGGACTGGAGCGGGCTCTGGAGTGGACTCTGAAGGCTCCCCGACTCGAGCCGTTTCATGAGTTGGCTCTGAAGGCTCCCGGACTGGAGCGGGCTCTGGAGTGCACTCTGAAGGCTCCCAGACTGGAGCGGGCTCTGGAGTGGACTCTGAAGGCTCCCCGACTGGAGCCGTTTCATGAGTGGACTCTAAAGGCTCCCCGACTGGAGCCGACTCTGGAGTTGACCCTGAGGGCTCTCGGACTGGAGCGGACACTGGAGTGAACTCTGAGGGCTCCTGGACTGAAGCAGGCTCTGGAGTGGACTCTGAAGGCTCCCGGACAGGAGTGGGCCTTGCTGCCCTCCTTCTCGATCTTCGTTTGCGAGATAAAGACAATGAAGCTTCACTATTCTCTGGGGGCACTGCAACAGGCACAAAATGACTGGGTTGAACCACTAAACTGCGGTAATAGAGATAGTCAATAAAACCCCAAAATCTCACACAGAGTCTCACTCCAAAGGGTAATCCAGGCATTCATCAAAAATCTTGTTGAGTTTGGAATTACAGAGTTCCAGTCCTACTGCCAAAGTTCTAAAAATCTGTGCAAGACCTCCTACTTCCATTCCCTGTTGATGAAGAGCCGCCAACATCTGGAACCGAGCCTTCCGCTCTATCTTAAAAGCTGAAGGAAGAACCCGAATGTGGTGATGGGAAATGAAGTCCACAAGCAATAATAGTGACCCAGGAGGAGTGCCCTCTGGTGGCTGTCATGGGCACTCCAGCAGATGGCTGTGACACAGCATGACACAGCACGAAAAGAGCTTTCCTGGAGCATTTCATTCCTTGGTAGTGCAAATGATGCAAACGATCAACAATGGGTGGCAAGGCACTGTCAAAAGATCTTCAGGATAAAGTTGTGGACAGGCACAAGTCAGGGGATGGATACAAAAACATTTCAAAAGCTTTATTGGTGCCTAGAAGCACAGTGTATTTGATACAACACAGACCCTCTGTAGATCAGGACATCGCTCCAAACTGGATGAAAGAGCCAGGAGGAAACTGGTCAGAGAGGATACCAAGAGGCCTATAGCAACTCTGAAGCAGTTGCAGGAATTTATGACAAAGAATGGTCATTGTGTGCATGTGACAACAATATCACAAATTCTCCACAAATGTGACTTGTATGGGAAGGTTGCAAGAAAAAAGCCACTCCTCAAGAAAAGCCACATGCAGTCACGACTAAGCTTTGCCAAAACGCACATTGAAGATTTGAGACAGATGAGACTAAAATTTAATTATTTGGCCTCAACACAAAACAATATGTCTGGCGGAAATGCAATAAAACTCACCATCCAAATAATACCATTCCTACAGTAAAGCATGGAGGTGGTAATATCCTGTTATGGGGGTGTTTCTCTGCAGCAGGGACTGTAGCACTTGTCAGGATAGAAGGAAAAATAGATGGGGCAAAATATGGTCAAATTCTTGAGGAAAATCTGCTGTCTTCTGCCAGGAACTTGTCAATGGGAAGAAGGTTTACCTTCTAACATGATAATGACCCAAAGCACACAGCAAAACTGACCACACAGTGGTTAAAGGAGAAAAAGGTAAATGTCATTGCATGGCCTAGTCAGAGCCCAGAATTAAACCCAATTGAAAATCTGTGGAATGACTTGAAGACTGCAGTCCACAGTCACCATGAAATTTAACTGAACTTGAGCAGTTCTGCAAAAAAGAGTGGGCAAATATTGCAATGGCTAGATGTGGAAAATTAGTAGAGGCATATCCCAACAGACTAAAGGCTGTAATTAAAGCAAAAGGTGGTTCAACAAAATATTGACACATGGGGGTGATACTTTTTCCAACTCAGTGATTTTTTTTTTTTCTCTGACATGTTGGTGTTATATCTTTCA